CAGCCAGTTCCCTTCAACTGATTTACCCACATGAACTAGAAATAACCTAGGCCAATGCGCAGTTAGCTCCCTTTTATCAGAATCCAGCTGTGTGTGTTGATGCACTTGAAGATTTCTTGACCAAAGCTTGAGATATAAACGGAGAACAACTGTAAATACGCATTAGTCGGAAAGCGCACGTTAAATCTCCAAAGTAAGTAATTATATATATATATAAGTAAGTTACTGGCCAGTCATGTTAAGCTTTAAAAGCATGTATGTCCCCAGAAGTTATGTTAGTGAGTGAGTTCGGTTAAACGCCGCTTTTAACAGTATTCCAGTAATATCGCGACGTGTCAGCTTGATGTGGGAGTAGAGCCCGAAGTGATGCAGGTCCGAGACGTTAACCACTTCGCTGAAACCCACGAGCACGGGTATGCTGCTGACAAACCTAGAAACATAATTTGGGCGAACCGGGATTCGAACCCACAATCCAAGGGACGCAACTTAGCCATCCGTGCCACCCGAAAATAAGTTAGTAAAAAATAGTATTATATGGATCTAGATGGTATTGAATTCCATGGTGACTATTTAAGGATAAAACAGACCAGGGAAATCGCAAACCTGATGCGAGCGCAGTTGATGTACCAGTGAGGGACTTTCTCAGGAAACCAAGGTTGTCATCTAACTCCTGTTTTCGCATGGCAGGGGCATTGGGGTGCGGCGTAAGGCAGCACATTCTTATTTTTATATGCAAATTGTGTGAATGGCGGTGCAACGATAGAGCAGGACAAGCTTACCCTTTTCGCGAACAAGTGGTGTCATCACTGATTTACAGTGCGCCATTCATATAATGTTCATATAAGCTATTTGCCCAGTACGCCAATTGGAATCTGTATCGGTAGATAATCTAGACTGGAAATTCTCTTGGCTTGACAATGTATATTGTTATGCAGTGTTTTTTGTATCTTGTTTGAGAGCTATTGTCAGAAGAGATTCATGTTTATTGTGCTGCATGCTAAATTAACTTAACATTTTTTTAATAATGCTGCTTAGCCTTTGTTAAAAATCTACAATGCGACCTGATGATAGGTAGTCAAGTTAAATTGCTGAACATTTTGTCATTAGAGAATTCTGATTTAGTTCCCTCTCATGGCATACATACAGTATTGTGGTGGGTTTTTTGTCACTCTGAATCTTTATGCACATGTCTAAACATGAGACAGATAAGACGTTTCATTGGTACCTCTTTTTTTCGGTTAAGGTGGGTAAATCAGTAGCATGGAATAAGCTGTGTGACCGTTATAGCATACGCCAAAGCCTTTGCCATGCTGAAATTATGGTTCTGTTGTAATTTGGATACTCGGTCTGCGTAAGTTCCATTTTTATGCCGCCGTGATAATCTGATTACGGCTTGAACATTACTCGCTCACGAATTATCAGCTTTCTGATGATTGTAATCCACGCAAGGGTCAAGTCCCCTCTTTCTGTCTGTTGTCTTCATTGCCCTCCCTTCCTGCACATGTGGGCATTTGCTGACTGTTCGCTGTGATTTCGCAGTTTACTAAATCCCAAAACAGCAGGGAGACTATAACACAGCGACAAAGTGTGACTCAGTCAAAATAACGAAAGTCAGTTGGTTCGTTTTATCATTTAATCACGTATAGATGACTAAATAGAAACATGCATCCATAATGTGGATGTATGTTTCAGTAAGTATTGGATTATAAAGTCTTACACTGCAGTGAAACAAATTAAATCTTGTAATACATATGTACAAATACCATAGCTTTGTATTATCTTGTATTTCCACCTTATTAAAATAATATTTCACAATTTTGACATACCTGGGCTACACAATTGACCAATTCATTAAAATATGAATAAAATAATACTGTTATTATGTCAAAAATCACAAAACTTTATAATCTCATGAGATAATCCTGTAAAAACCAACAACCAGACGCCAAAATTTGTTAATAAACACCACACTAAGCAATACTGCAGCTAAAATACGGTAAGCTAAAATACGGTAAGGAAGATAATTTGTGGATGTCAACTTCTTTTTTATGAGGAACACATCGTTTCGGAGTATATACTCACTCCTTCATCATGGGAATTTTTTTTAACATGATGAAGGAGTAAGTATATAAAGAAGTTACATCAACAAATTCTCTTTGTTATATGTATCACTTCTAAATGCCGTTCAAAGACTTGATATATTACGGTAAGTTTTTAATAAACGTGTCTGTACCATACAACCCAGTGATTGATCTTATGCTTAAAATTCCATATTGTCAGGGAATGATGTCACACAATAACCAAGTCACTGAGCCTGACCACCGAATCCATTTAGCAACCTCTTACACGTATAGTTGGTGGGAAACTGCACAGGGCCGTATGATGTACCACGTCTAATTCAATACAAAGTTTCATCGTGATTTTTCGAACCGTTATACTCTGGAAACGAAGTACAACATGTTGCATGGGGAAACGCAAAACAATTTTTTTTAAACTTGACAAACACCTGAATGGCACAAGGCACTTGTTTAATGCTTGCCTTTTGTGCACCCATAGCGTCACAAAGAAATAATGAATTGTATATGAGCTATGCAATGGAAACGATCCTCCCCTCATTTCCAACTTGTAGCTTTGGAAACGTACAAAACTGTCCAGCACTTGTTTGATGTGTATTCAAAGTTTAACAAAGACATTAGGAACAACTGTATAAGGATCTATACCGAAACGTCGCCTATATCGCTGCATTAAAGAATTTGTGATCAATAAATTGTGTCAACCTCGACATTCTGAACAGTTTATGAAATAGTCCTGAAACTTGTTAGCCTAAAAACAAAATCAAAATATGAACAAAAACTCCTGAATATCAAAAGACATTAGCTCAGTGCATGCCTGGTGTTTGTTTCACGAAGACATATTGAACAGTTTATTAGTTTATGCTCCGGAAACAAAACGTGACTGGCAGAGCCTGTGTTTATATTCTCAGCAAAAACTCGTTTGGGCGAGGCAGAAAACACATTCCACGTCGTCCATGACAAGGGTATTATAATATAACAAACACATGTATACTCATTAAATGTACGTCAGGTGGGCGGGGCGTTCATTGAGAGAAATGTAAATGCGAGAATACGTTATCATCATTGAAGGGTCTTGAGAAAATAACATTTTGAGATAAGGAAACAAATTAAATCAGTCCATATTAAATTCCAGGAAAATACCTGCCCAGAACACATATAATGTCATGTAGATGATTTGTAAGAGACCGACCATTTAATATGGAGGAGACCGACCATTTAATATGGAGGAGCCCAACACTTTATTTTAACCTATAACAAATTATTTTCAGAACATGCAACATGTCCAGTGAACAAAACGCAAGCCTAGGAACTAATGTTCTTTTCTTTTCTTTTAAAAAAGGGAAAAAATAACTGTGCTTCATATTAAGTTCAATAAAAATATATTTATTCTGAAATTAAAATATCCAACTTTCATTACATACTCGGGAAGACATCTCCTCGATTTTAAAGTCATGATTCACAGAATGCACGTGCATAAAACTTGCACGGCGCAAAACCTGGATGTTTGTTTTCTTGTCGGGAGTATGACACTCACACAGTGATTTTTAAATGTGAAAGCACACGCTGATTGTTTACCTCCATGCTTATACAAGCACTTTTTTAACCGTAAATAACGCTTACGGTCGTCCATGTGTGACGTCACAACAACAAGACAATCATATTCGGTTGGTGCATAAACGGAATTATTACCAAACTGCCTCAGCTACAACAATTAATGGGTTCCTTGACGCAAACGGTTGGGTGAACACAACATCCGGCCCCGACGTCCAGCTAGGAGCTTAATTGTGCTTCCACATCACCGTCAAGCACGCCTAACTTGGTGTAGACAGCATCTGAGGCTCATAAGACAAGACTGGGACAGAAAACTATTCACAGATGAATCATGGTTTTATCTGGATATCACTGATGGTCGTGAACCGTGACGATCCGGGATAGAACAGGTGTTAAGTAGCCCATGCTTGCCGAAAGAGGCGACTAACGGGATCGGGTGGTCAGGCTCGCTGACTGGGTTAATGTATGTCATCGAACCCTAATTCCGTGGATCGATCCTCATGATGTCAATCACTGGGTTGTCTGGTCCAGACTCGATTATTTACAGACCGCCGTCATCTAGCTTGTATATTGCCGAGTGCGGCGTTAAACAACAAACAAACAAACTGATGGTCGTGCAAGGGTCTACAGGAGTTCAGGGGAACGTTTTAGCGACGCTTGCGTTACTCAACGTCGTCAGAGAACACAATTCATCATTGTTATTGGCAATTTGCATGGCTTATGCAACCAGGACGACGTCGTTCGAGATCATATTCTACCCTTTATGCAAATGCAGGGATGTAAAAACGTTACGTTGCAGCCGGATAATGTCCGCCCTATGTTGCACGTGACGTAACCCACGTTTTGAGGCAGCGTAACACAGCTGTACTGTCATGGTCGGCTTTTTTCCAGACCCCTCTCCCATAGAACATGTCAGGGATGAGATGATTCGACGCCTACGACAAGACCAGAGCCAGCCGGTAACGCTAGCTCAGTCGGGTCAATCTTTGGTTGACATTTGGAACAACATCCAGCATGAGGTTTTCAATCATCTGGTGCCTCAAATGCGCCATCGCTACCTCGCCTGTATCAACGGAAATGGTGGTCACGCCCAATATTGACATGGTTAATTGAGTTACTACACCTCCCGTCTTTAGGGCGTATCGCTGTTACCAGGTATGTTCTTTTCCAATGAATTTGTTATAAAAACATTTATCAGACGATGGTCCAAATATTTAGTTATTTCCAATAACATAACATTTTCGATACTTAATATGAAGCCGATTACTTTTTCCCGTAAGTATACCTACCACCCCATCTCGCACCGCCCCAAAGATACCAAATGGTCTCCCCCTTAAGAATTAATATTTCATCATTTCGTACACCCAGTTACTGTTCATCCTTTCCTATCACATAGGACAAGGACAGACGAGGAACTTCCATATTCATATATACATTAATCACATGGCCATGTAATAAGATTTTCTCACAGCCTTACACAAGAATGGCAGGTCGCAGTACAGCAGCCCCGACCGTGACGATAGTTGTGATGGAAGACCACAGGACAAAGGGAGGCAAGCATGATCCACTGGTCTGCATCAAGACTTCTGTTGGAGATAAGGAGATATCATATTACTGGCTCGTCTTTTAAATAAAGCATTCACTGACCATTATCTCCGCATCTGACACGCTAAAAGATAACACAAACATCTCATACAAAATACGTTGGATCAGATAAAAAATCCACCTTCGCATTGATTGGCCAGTATTTAGAAAAATAGGCAAATTCTTGTGTGACAGTATTAGTGTACAATTACCAGGCCAGTGGGGCGTCGAGATAGCCTTTTGGGTAAAACGAAAGCTCGTCACGCCAATTTTCCACATTGGTAAATTGAGTGAAGGCTATTTCTTGTGTCCCCCGCATTGACATTGTTAGATATTGCTACCAGCGGCGTACAACCAGCGCAAGGACAGAATTAATTTATTCTTGGTTTACGGATTTTCCCCTGAAATGTCCTGGTCGATAGGTGGGGTTAAAACCATTTCAGATCATTTTCGTGTTCTTCAAAAAGTAGTTCGACAACGTTACAATTTCTGCAGTTACTAATCATATGTTCCAAACGGTTTTAGCTGTGGTGCACAGGTTTGAATTCATCATAATACAAATAAAATTCATGCTCTTTAGATTGTTTTCCACTTTTCAATATGTAGTCCATACACCTACTTAACAAAGGAGTAATAATTATAAAAATGACTTTTGTAACACCTATACAATCAGATACATGTCCACAAAATGTACTAAAGACGCTAGATTTACCTCCGTCGCACATTGATGTATTCAAGTTCTGATGTATCCATCCAGATTGGCAAATATCACATTCTCCAGTTTCTCGGTCACATGTTTGGTTAACACATCCAACAGAACACATCAGCTGACAGTTTTCTCCATATGTACCAGGGATGCAGACTTGGAGGAAAGGATGAATGTGGAAATCAATATGTTGGAAACATTGAAGCACACAAGTTGGTCTACCAATTTCATTTCTCAATGTGTGCCAGGGAGATAGGGAAGTAGAAAATCTTGAGAGTAGAACATGAAATATTAAAGTCACTGGATGTATAAGTCCTTGTCTTAATATTCATCACCGTCTTTTTTAAAACTAACGATAAGAATGAACCTGTACAATATTGTCTCTGGGCCATAGAATGTGGATATATTGAAATGCCGTATGTTGTCTAAGCATTGTAAGAATAATTTGTGCGTTGGTAAATGCACCTTTGGCTGTTGGTCTTTTGGACGTAAAAAGGTGACATATACTCAAAGAAAAAAGTTAAGCAGACCCTAATATATTTCATTTTTGTTTGTTCCCAATATTTGTAACAGTCACGAAAGATAAATTACAGGAAGAATTATGTTTTCTCGAGATGATGTAATCAGTCATATGTGACGAAAGCTCACGTGCCATGCATGGTTTGCCCGTGCAGTATGGTACCCTCGAGTATGTCTAAAAGCAGTCGGATCCATTGGTCAGGCGATAGTCGCTTTCTGCTCCACGTCACTGATGGAAGAACGAGAGTTTGGGGGCACCGGAACACAGCCTGCACCCCGAGGAACATTAAACCGACTGTTGCATACGGCGGGGGCTCGGTAATAGTTTGGGAGTGTATCTCTCATGATTGCAAGTAGGATTTGGTCACCATAAGAGGCAACTTAACAGGCTCAGTACATCCCGGACGTTCTGAGGCCAGTCGTCGTTCCTCATTTTGACACCCACCCTCTTGCTACTCGACCTCAGGCAATGCCAGGCCTCATCGTTTGCATGCAGTCGTGGATTACATGAGGGCAAATGCAATAACGACTCTACCCTGGCCAACAATGAGCCCAGATTTGAACCCCCGAGTTTGGGATATTCTGGGGCGGCGCATACAGGCACGATATCCTCCTGTACAAGATTTACGCCAATTGGAAGCAGCATTGCATCAGGAGTGGTTGTTGTTGACCAATCAACAGATCCAACGTCTGACTGGAGGCATGAGACGTAGGGAATGGAATGCGACATCCGGGCACGTGGCGGTTATACCCGCTACTGATCTGTTTCACGTGTCATGTCAAGTAGAGACTTTAAGGAACATTTTCACATGAAACATCAAACGTACTTAATCATGCAGCTCCATACCTTTTATAGATATTGTCTAAGGTCAAAAACAGTACCTGTGTTACCATGATGTTTTTGTCAGTAAATTTTACTTACAACTCACCAATAACTTCTTTATTTGTTGTCAAATGTTTGATTTATCCGATGGTCCTGTGGATTATCCTGTGGTCAGTCATCCCATGCAATGACTTTTGCCATTATTCATGGTTCAGAAATAGGGGTGTGCCTCACTTTTTTCTTTGTGTATATTTACACCATTTAATTCTGTGATGGGACACCTTCCTACCTGTGTCACAGTTTGCTCCAGTCCACCCTGATCTGCAGTAAGACCCACAATTCCCATCAGAAGGGTCGCATTGCTCAGGCTGGCATCCCTCATTGCACTCATACATACAGTCAGGGCCATAGGTGCCCGTGTCACATCCTGTCGTGAAAAGGTAATAGTTTACACGGGATGAACAGATTTGTATTTTTTTTCACTTAAAATAACTTTGGTTGTTTGGTGTATTTTTTAACGCCGCACGCGGTAAATAATCGAGTCTGGACCAGACAATCCATTGATTGACATCATGAGCATCGATCCACGCAACTGGAATACGATGACTTGCGTCAACAAAGTCTGCGAGCCTGACTACCCGATATCGTAAGTCGCCTCTTACGACAAACATTGTCGCCTTTTACAGCAAACATGGGTTGCTGAAGACCTATTCTCTATTCGGATCTTCACGGGTCAGTTAACATAACGGAATATAGTTGTACATAACACAATTCAAACCGTTTTGCTTGTTGTTATTCATAAGAATAAATTAATGTCATTTCGTCATTTCTATCCTTTTCCATATACATATATTCGCTGTAGAGAGTTCGCTATATACGTAAACTTTATATGATATTATATAGGAGATAAATCGGGGATTGTTTTAACAGTTCGTTGTTTCCGTTTGTTCGCTATATCCGTGTTCGTTATATCCGTGTTCTACTGTATTGTATATTGTCTTCGGTATGATACCATAACGAGGATGCGACTTCAGAGAAAACTATTCTTCTTCAAATATTATGTTGCCTTGAATAGTTGATCTAACACCATAGATTTACGTATTATATTTGCAATTGAATGAGTTCGTGACAATTCAAGTTTTGCACCTCTTTTACACCTTAATAAAAGGTAAACGTTGCTGGTCGAAAACCGAAAAGTGGACATACTCGTACGTTTACTTTAGCTATTTGGCACCCCTTAATTGGATATATCAGTACCACTTACTGTTGTCGCATTTGGCCATGTTCCATCCTGGCAGACACACGTTACAAGTGCCATCAACTCGGTCACATGTCTGGTTGACACACCCAGCAGAGCAGTTCAGCAGACAGTCTTCCCCATATGTACCAGGCGGGCAGGCTGGTGAGAAATGATGAGGAATGCAACACGTAGGAACCCCCAAGCTCATGACGTACATGTATAACACGTCATGCTATAAAATAGTAGATGAAATAGATGAACATGTATTTCCCGATAAATCATTCATATGTGTCTTCAATACTAGTAGAGACATATGCATAACTGTATCTCGGACACAAAATATCGTGTAGCTGAAAGGTCAAATTAATCTGTAATTGTGGAATACTAAACTGGTACCGGTTGTTTGTTTGTTTGTTTGTTTGTTGTTTAACGCCGAACTCAGCAGTATTCCAGTTGTATGACGGCGGTCTGTAAAATAATCGAGTCTGGACCAGACAGTCCTGTGATTGACATGATAAGCATCGATCCACGCAATTGGGATCGATGACATGTATCAACCAAGTCAGCGATCCTTACCACCCGATCCCATTAGTCGCCTCTTATGACAAGCATACGGCAAGTATGGGTTGCTGAAGACCTGTTCTACCCCGGATCTTCACGGGTCAACTGGTACCGAGCCAATCTGCGGATGTCATACGATTAAATCATTCATGGATTCAGAAGTTGTGTACTATGCGATATTGACTTTAAATATAAGTCACACTTCAAACCTGAGACGTGGTTTTCTCCACCTCAAAGGTAAGGTACAAGACAATTGGTACCTTATAAATGTTGCATACAGTTAACTATTATAGTTCATTTCTAGTTCATATAGTTCAGGAAGTTAACTCACTTTCAAAGTCGAGTATCTACCCTTGCCGAACTAGGCCGGAATTGTTGGGTTCATTCGTAGCGCCACCAGTGACTAGTACGAGTTATATCCCTCCTATTTACCAAGCAGATTCCACCTGTGATATCACTTGTGTGTGCTTCAAACATAAAAGTGGCGCCCAGTGAAGACGATCTGATCGCTAATCAAGATCTATATTGTAATAAAACGGGTCTTACTACGCGAAGTGCATCAAATCACGTGAGTACCGTGATTAAAAACTTGAAAAGATTTGGAAAATATCTGTTGACGCTAAGCGCAAATGATTTGCAAATACTGCAATCAAACGAAATCTGTACGGCAGTTTACGAACCGCTTTCGTTACGCTTTTTTGATTGGACTATGTATAAACTCGTTAGTCCCGCCAAAATATTACCCCATCATTCCAGCCTCGGTCGGCAAGGGTGGAAACTGGACTTTTATAGACAGTCACTCCCTTGCCTCGGAAAGATGTTCATTTAATGAATGTATGCAACATTCTAATCCATTGAGTAAAACCTGCACTGCGTCACAGTTTTCCCCAGGCCAGAAGAGGGAATAATGCCTGATATGTGTGTTGAATGAAAGTGGAATTGAATGCACATGTAGACAACCTTATGCTGCATCACTTTTATACTGTACAATTAGTACCTGTTTCACAGTGTTCTCCAGTCCACCCTAGCACACATGACCCACACGTTCCATCAGTAGCGCTGCATGTACCAGGTTGGCATCCCTCGTTGCACTTATACTTACAGTCCTCGCCATATGTGCCTGGGTTACACCCTGGAGTGAAAATTAGAGTGATGACATCAAACTGTCGGAGGGGCGGTCGGGTAGCCCAGTCGTTAAAGCGTTCGCTCGTCACGCCGAAGACCCGGGTTCGATTCCCAACATGGGAACAATGTGTGAAGCCCATTTCAGGTGTCCCCCGCCGTGATATTGCTGGAATATTGCTAAAAGCGGCGTAAGACCATACTCACTCACTCACTCACTCAAACTGTCGGTAAATTACATGCACAGGAAGAAGTCAAGATTTGTGTCGCCTTCTTCATCCATTGATAGCCAATGGATTCACTCAGCTGGATGTTGGTCCACGGCTATTTTACATTTTATGCCCGGTGGAATCTGTTTCGGTATATAATCAAGAATGGCTGACCTCTGACGTGGACGTTTTATGTTAACAATGAAAACTTTTACAAATGAAATCAAATTGTCTGAACGTGATTATTCTTGTGCATTTCTTTTGGATGCCATTCCTGTGACATCTCGTAAGTTAATTCTAAACACATAAGACCTTTTTTCTAATTTTGTCTTTTCATGTACATTCGTCTTTTCTACTGTTGAGTATGTTACAACTGGGCATGGTTAATAGTTGTGACTTCCCTTGTAACACTCTTTATCATAAATGATAACAATGTGGGACAAAGAATTTGAGTAGTAAAGAAATGTTACTTTTTCTCCGAAAGAAATAAGAAACCTCAACATTTTGTAAAAAATGTACGCCTACAAACGTTTACAACATTGAATATACAGGATTTCATAAAGGCTACAAGGCATATTCCATAAGCTTCAAAGTTAAAAAGCAACTTCTCAGGATATTTAATTTCAGGCACATGTATGGTTTCAGAACCTGTCAGCCTGTGTTATATTAGTATGCAGTCATTGAGTGTCCATACAGACCTTCATCTAAAATGTATCATCACATTCATAAAATGTGTTGCTAAAGTATCACATCTTACGTTTTTCCGCAGATTAATGGGTGAGAAAGCACCTTAAGAGTCCAACCTTTTATTATTTTAGGGGGTTGGGATTTATCAGTCAGCTATACAAGACTTACACTGATTTCTTTCTGTGAAAAGAGCCCAGCAACCATTTTGGGACCCACAACATCATATTTTAGAGAAGGAAAGTCTTTCGAGGGAACGGTTGTATTTTGGGGTTTAACCTGAGAACCAATTGTTATTCCAGCATTTTAGGGAACCGATTTTTGTTTCTGAAAACGCCATCGATCATGACACAACACTACTTACTTTCGTCGCACCTTGCAATGCTCCCGCGATTGCTCTCCCAGCCAGGCAGACACTCGTCACAGCTGCCATCAACTCGGTCACAAGTCTGGTTGACACACCCAGCAGAGCAGTTCAGCCCACAGTTTTCCCCATATGTACCAGGCGGGCAAACTAATGAGAAATGAATGTGGAAATCAATTTGTTGAAAACGTTGAAGCATATCAGTTTCAACCAATTTCATTTCTATTTACAAGTTAAATATAACTCTAATAATAAACGAAATCATTTCAGATTAAGGTGTGTTGAGAAATTTGAATTTGATTTGGCCATAACTCGATTCTGATTGGTCAATCAGAGGTACCAAATCAAAATAACCACCTCCGATTGAAACAGCTGATTCGACGTGCACATTACTGCAGAAGCTTATATATATGCATTGTCGGTAGGCATTATAAAATAATGATATTTCCAAATTAAGTTTAATTCAAAGTATTCATTGTAATACATTGTACACGAAACAACGATACGAATCGACCATGAGAGTATATTTCAAGTTTTAGAGACCACAGAGCTCTTGAAATGTGGCACTTTTCTTTAAACACCATCAAAGCGTTGACGTTTAATTTTGTCATGGTAGAATGGTAATAGACATGCCCAATGTATTCAAAAAGAGCCCGATTCAACCTTAATCTTTCGGTTCCAAAGTCAGTTCAGCAATTTAAATCTACAGGTAACCAACCTAGTTCTACACTGAAAACACAATGTTTATCTCCAAAGTGAACCAAACACATCTTTTATATTCGATACAATCCGTACCTGTTTCACAAGTTTCACCAGTCCAACCGCCTCTACAAGATGTACAGTGTCCATCAATATGGTTGCATTTATCAGGCTTGCATCCCTCGTTGCACTTATTCTTACAGTCCTCGCCATATGTGCCTCGGTAACACCCTGGAGTGAACATTAGAGTAATGACATCAAACTGTCGGTAAATTACATGCACGGGAAGAAGTCAAGATTTGTGTCGTCTTCTTCATCCATTGATAGCCAATGGATTCACTAAGCTGGATGTTGGTCTACTCATAAGACTGTCACGGCTATCTTACATTTTACGCCCGGCGGAACCTGTTTCGGTATATAATCAAGACTGGCCGACCTCTGACGTGGACGTTTTATGTTAACAATGAACACCTTTACAAATGTAATCAAATTGTTTACACGTGATTATCCTTGTGCATTTCTTTGGGATGCCATTCCTATGACATCTCGTAAGTTAATGCTAAACACATAAGACCTTTTTTCTAATTTTGTCTTTTCATGTACATTCGTCTTTTCTACTGTTGAGTATGTTACAATTGGGCATGGTTATTAATTGTGAATTCCCTTGTCCCACTCTATAACATAAATGATCACAATATGGGACAAAGAATTTGAGTAGTGAAGAAATGTTACTTTTTCTCCGAAAGAAATAAGAAACCTTCACATTTAGTAAAAAGTGTACGTCTACAAACGTTTACAACATTGAAAATACGGGATTTCATGAACACTTCAAGGCATATTCCATAAGTTGAAAAGCAACTTCTCAGGATATTTAATTTCAGGCACATGTTTGGTTTCAGAACCTGTCAGCCTGTGTTACATTAGTATGCAGTCATTGAGTGTCCACACATACCTTCATTTAAAATGTATCATCACATTCATAAAATGTGTTGCTAAAGTATCACATCTTACGTTTTTCCGCAGATTAATGGGTGAGAAAGCTCCTTAAGAGTGAATCCAACCTTTTATTATTTTAGGGGGTTGGGATTTATTAGTCAGCTATACAAGACTTACACTGATTTCTTTCTGTGAAAAGAGCCCAGCAACCATTTTGGGACCCACAACATCATATTTTAGAGAAGGAAAGTCTTTCGAGGGAACGGTTGTATTTTGGGGTTTAACCAAATATCTTTACGATCATGATACAACACTACTTACTTTCGTCGCACCTTGCAATGCTCCAGCGACGGCTCTCCCAGCCAGGCAGACACTTGTCACACCTGCCATCAGCTCGGTAACAAGTCTGGTTGACACACCCAGCAGAGCAGTTCAGCCCACAGTTTTCCCCATATGTACCAGGCGGGCAAACTAATGAGAAATGAATGTGGAAATCAATTTGTTGAAAACGTTGAAGCATATCAATTTCAACCATTTTCATTTCTATTTGCAAGTTAAATATAACTCTTATAATACACGAAATCATTTCAGATTCAGGTGTGTTGGAAAATTTGAATTTGATTTGGCCATAACTCGATTCTGATTGGACAATCAGAGGTACCAAATAAAAAAAACCACCTCCGATTGAAACAGCTAATTCGACGTGCACATTACTGCAGAAGCTTATATATATGCATTGTCGGTAGGCATTATAAAATAATGATATTTCCAAATTAAGTTTAATTCAAAGTATTTATGGTAATACATTGTGCACGAAACAACGATACGAATCGACCATGAGAGTATATTTCAAGTTTTAGAGACCACAGAGATCTTGAAATGTGGCCCTTTTTTTACACACCATCAAAGCATTGACGTTTAATTTTGTCATGGTAGAATTGTATTAGACATGCCCAATGTATTAAAAAAGAGCCTGATTCAACCTTGATCTTTCGGTTCCAAAGTCAGTTTAGCCATGTTAAATCTACAGGTAACCAACCTACATGTACTTCAACACTGAAAACACAATGTTTATCTCCAAAGTGAACCAAACACTTCCTTTATATTCGATACAATCCTTACCTGTTTCACAAGTTTCTCCAGTCCAACCGCTTGCACAAGCTGTACAGTGTCCATCAATATGGTTGCATTTATCGGGCTTGCATCCCTCCTTGCACTTATACCTACAGTCCTCGCCATATGTACCATCTGCGCAATCTGTATTGAGCGTCAGAAATGTGAGAAATGTATTTCTTGGACACAGTTCGTACACCTATCAGGGCATGCAGACTACAGACCTACCGATCTATTTTGCAGTGTGTGTGTGTGTGCGTGCGTGCGTGCGTGCGTGCGTGTGTGCGCGTGTGTGTGCGTGCGTGCGTGCGTGCGTGCATGCGTGCGTGCGTGTGTGTGTGTGTAACAAAAATCTGTCAAATGTTTTAAATAGCACAATGGCATGTTTTACCTGAAGCCTTTTCACCAGAACCATAAACATGAATCACGACCTCCAACAAACTCGATGATCCCAACAACCGTGCATGTTCAGATCTATTTGAGCCGTTGAAGCATAAACGATTCTACCAGTTTCGTTTCTGTGTCTTTTTCTTTCTGAGCTCAACAGGTGAAAACGTGGTGTCACGGACTACGATGAATCCCTTTCCGCGCATGCTCAGATCTGTTAGGCAGTTGCAGTGTGCCAGTGACCGAGGAAGAGAGTCAATGATAATACACCTATTTCCCATTTTTGACAATGTCAGTATCAACATTTGTCGGTACGGGAATGAAATGTGTTAACCACCGCAGTCAGTCATATTTCAGTTGTAACAGGTTGGTCTCTCGTCTGGACAAGACAAACTAGCAAATCCCATTTCGTCGTGAAACAGGACCACTATTTCCTAAATATGCCGTATGCGTAGTCCAGTGAGAGAGGAGTCAGTGAATGTTGCTTAATGCCGCACACAACACTGTTCCAGCTGACACTGATAACTTATCTGAGCCATTTAGTAGCCTCGTACAAGAATACAACTTACTGAGTACTAATTCTACCTTGTGAAGTCCATTTCTGGTGTCCCCCGCCATAATATTGCTGGAAACTAAAAGCGGCGTAAGACCATACTCACTCACTAATTCTACCTCAGAATCTCAACGGTGTTCGTCTTTAACAACGACAGATGACCCAATTGTTCAGAATTGCGTCCCTTATCTACGCACCCTATGGTATTTTGTCGAATCCGAAAATGCAGCTTATTAGCATGGAAAGTATTGTACTTAATAAATGCAAAATGTTAAGGGTGTGCAATACATCTTTCACACGTACGCTCAAACCATTTCTGATACCCTTTGTAATAAGATAAGAAATTGACATTATATGTTTGAAACGTATTATAAGAATACGAACATACGTGATGAGCAGGTGTCCCTCGTCCAACCTGGCTTACAGGTACAGTTGCCATCTACTCTGTCGCAAGTGTCCACACATCCAACACTGCACTTTCTACGACAGCTTGGTCCATAATGCCCCTCGGAACAATCTGGTTAATCAGCCATGTATTAATACAGCTGAACGTATGTATGCATAAACAAAAAACAAAATATATAGTTGCAAGGGCTGAAAGAATAATGAAAATATAATCAATTGATCATTTCCAAACAAAATGATCAAATATACATCTCAAGAGAATCTCACACGAGTGTGTATAAATATTAAATATGGCAACACCAGTCGATACAGTTTTAAGATGTACCTGACAGAGATCTTAAAACACGAGGGTGAGATTCGAAATATCATTCCAGACCATTCAGTTTGTAAACAGTAATAATTGCCTTGAGGGTAAAATGTCCAACTAGCTGAGGCAGGGCGATAACTGATATCATTTGAATGTGAAGCCATGTGACCGATGACGTCACAATGGTCTGCAAAGAACTGTGAAGTAAGCGATCTCCTGTGGAAGAGATCGATACATTGAATATACATACTTCGACATTTTGGTTTATAATGATACACAGGCATTAATACAAAGTTTTAAAGACTACAATATTTTAAGTAATTCAAAGACTCTCCGAAATGTTTGCTTTAAACTTTTGTCATCCAATGAGTGTATCAACGTACATCCTCTACAGACCAATCCAAACCAGCCACGTTTGCAGGTACAGTGGCCGGTCATTTGGTCACATGGTCCGTCACACCCAGATCCGCACCGTCCTCTGCACAACGGCCCCGCCCAGTCGGGCTTGCAGGAACAACTGCCGTTAACATTGTTACATGTGTCGATACAGCCTTCACTACATTTTTTTCTGCAGCCATTCCCATAACGCCCATCCTCACATCCTTAAATAAAAACAAAACTAGCAGTTAGATCACGAAGAGTTTGAACCCCGTTTGTGGACGAGTGGTAGCTAAGATTGAAGAATGCTATCTACTATGTGATCTTATATTGAAGAGTCAAGTATGATGGCGAAATTGTATTTCGAACCTATGGAAGCTCACATGTGCGCACCATCATCGTCCCTAAATTCGAGGACCCGTGAAGATTCCGGGGTAGACTAGGTCTTCAGCAACCCATGATTGCCGTAAAAGGTGACTATGTTTGACGTACAAGGCGACTAACAGGATCGGGTGGTCAGGCTCGCTGACTTGGTTGATGCATGTCATCGATCCCAATTGCGCGGATCGATGCTCATGATATTAATCACTGGATTGTCTGGTCCAGACTCGATTATTTACAGACCGCCGTCATATAGCTGGAATATTGCTGAGTGCGGCGTTAAACAACAAACAAACCAACCTACATTCGAGCATTCAACACAGAGAGGATCCTTTCAATGATACTTACATGGTATTTGAGCTACGTATTTTTTTTAAATGGCACATGGTGATCAAGTAGTATAGTGCTAAAAACCGAATCAAATCGGCCGTCTTTGATCCCTGAATTCAACCTAATGAAAATCTACCGATGCAACATCAATAATCACCGGTATTACCAATGCGTTCGAGTTATTTCCCGCTTAGTTGCCACGTTATAATGGAAATTAACCTACCGTGTTTTCAGTTTGGAGGTTTCAAACTCTAATAACTCAATAACGCGTTGGGTATCGAATGGGATTTACGGTTATCGAAATTGGAGATAAACATAGTATGTTTTAAAATTTGAGATAGTCTAAATGTAGATAAAACAATGGCTCCTTTGTCTTTGACCATATATTAACTAACTGGATCGTTTATTAATTCATCACGGGAGACATGAAAGGACATTTATCATGAAAGTTACCAGTAAATAGTTGGACTAAGAGTGTATATTTTATTGCACGAAACACATGCGTTTTTGTTATTTTTGCATTTTGTTTGCTCATAATAGGCCCATTAATATAATTAGTAAGTAATATTTAGGTCCAATATGAATATACTTGCCGCGGACATGCATTTCATAAGAGAGGTGTACGTGCGGAACACATGTCACGTGCATCACCCAGGGGCGACTCACACAGTGGTCTCACAGTATAGCATGAAGTTCTTGACAATCTTTTAATATGTTATCGACAACACTGTTGTTTAAGCATTTTCGGGGCCATGGTGTAAATATATTTGAGAAATCGAGCCCTGGTCTGAAAACGTTGAAATAGTAAGCTAAATACCAGGTAATTATGCTCTAACCTATACATATATACCTCTTATTATATTTTGGAATCGACTCTTTTCGCAATTCTTCAATGACGACAGAGCGCCTTTTAAAAAATGATTCTCTTATCAAACGCGTAGTCACAACGCATCTTCAAAATACCGAAAGGGGACTCATGTAGTGAATAACGTATACTACTCATGTTCAAGATTAATTACTTATATTACTGATCATTTCATTATTGGATCAAAATAATGCTTACAAAATTCTTTTTTCAAAACACTCCATAACCTGTTACATATATTGCACTCCTTGGACTCAACCGAGTCATTTCTTGGAAATAAACATGACATCTTCCATTGTTGGGCATCTTCCCGAGGCAAGAACGTCCACCAGCCTTTTTATCAATGTCTTGTTTCCACATCATCCCGAAGCAAGAACGTCCGCTCGCCTTATTATCAAAGTCTTGTTTTCATATCATCCCGAGGCAAGAACGTCCACTCGCCTTTTAACGTGTTTATCAAAGTCCTGTTTCCACATGATCCCTCATTATCTGATCGACTAGGTCGTTGCTTATGATAGTCGCCGTCTTTGTGAAGCAATACGAGATAAGAACAGCGATCTGATTGGATATCGCGTTTTCAGTACAGGGGGGACAACTCTACGCGATGTGGCGCCAGGGTCGAGCCAAGAAAAACGGCCTTGGTGTGGCAAGAGTAGAAACTAGGATTTGATATAGGCTAGTGGACATGCTTGCCTCGGGATTATGAGGGAATAATTATGTTTAATATCAACTTGATAAACTAGTGGAAATGAACCAAAACATCATCGCCAACCCAACCACCTTACAACTGAAGACGATACGGCATGACGCGACTGCTCATTATTGTGCCCAATGATGGTGTTGTTACGCCACAACGGTTAGTGTATGTTTTATGTAACTGTGCGCGTTCTAAAATAGATTTCATCATGCATGATAATCTGCCGTCTCGAACGTGTACAGTTCTAGAGGGTTCAAAGCAGTCATATCTACATGCAATTAAACTTATTTTGACCAAACAATCTAGCATTCATCATTGTCATGTTCGAAACATCAAAATTGGAAACACGGTATTTTTTATCTCCTAAATTAAACCAGATCCAATTGCACATTTGACTCTGAAAATTTGAGACGAATCAATAGTGTGAAAGTTCAACATACGTAACAAGCAATTGGGCCCTTTCCATCCTTCCTTGCACGTGCACGTGCCGCTCTCACGATGACAGTTCCCCTCACATCCCTCAGCGCAACGTTTTCTGCAGGAAGCTCCATAGTGTCCATCCTCACATCCTAAAGAAACCCAGCATATACATATATAAATGTGTATGTTGCACATTGTGAAATAGACCGCCTCCGTGGTCTAGTGGTAGAGCGTCCGCCCGGAGAGCGGAAGGTTCGAGGTTCGATCCCCGGCCGCGTCATACCAAAAGACGTTAAAAGATGGTACTTGTTGTTATCCTGTCTGGCGCTCGGTATTAAGGGGCTAAAACAAGGACTGTTCGGTTCGGGGTCAGTATACTGTGTCTGAGTAGGGTATTCATGTTAAACTGCGGTATGGTATGTCAATGGGCTAGCACTATACATCGGCATCAGTCCGGACTAGTACAAGCAGCCACACACACACACACACACACACACACACACACGTGCCAAGTCGCTATATAAGTCCAATAATCCTGAACGCGACGTTAAACCCCATTTCACCTAACCTCACACATTGTGAAACACATTTCTAGCAGTGAGTTGGGTTTAACGCCTCTTTGAACGATATGTAAATAATATATAAGTTATATCATATCGTGTCAGCTTAGTGTAGGGCGAAGGGGATGCAGGTATTACACACCATGCAGGCATAATGCACGTATTTACAACTTCGGTTAAGCCAAATAGCGCCTGTACGGTGCTGCCAAGAATCATTATCAGAGCAGATCTGAGATATTGGCACCCCAGCATTCTGATACTCCCGGGGGAAGCTGCACTGTGTTTGTTGGTTGTTTATAATTAACGCCGCCCTCAGCAACATTCCAGCTATATGACGGCGGTCTGTAAATAATCGAGTCTGGACCAGGCACTTAAGTGATTGACATCATGGGCATCGATCCACGCAATTGGGATACGATGACATGCATCAACCAAGTCAGCGAGCCTGACCACCCGATCCCGTAAGTCGCCTCTTACGATAAGCATAGTCGCTTTTTACGGCACGCATGGGTTGCTGAAGACATATTCTACCCCGGATCGTCACGGGCCAGCTGCACTGTGAATGTGGTAACTCAGACGGATAGACGACCTACAGAACCGGCATCCATAATATTTCCTTATCCCTGGCTTATAAAATTATATATTTCGTAGACGATAATAACTTAACAAGTGGTTGACTCATTGTCTTGTCCTTAATTACACTGCCTTCGTTCGTTGACCCATGCTTGTTGTAAGAGGCGACTATGCTTGTTGTATTGGTTTGTTTGGTTTGTTTGTTGTTTAACGCCGCACTCAGCAATATGACGGAGGTCTTAAATAATCGAGTCTGGACCAGACAATCCAGTGGTTGACATCAAGAGGCGATTATCGGGATCGGGTGGTCAGGCTAGCTGATTTGGTTGTTGCATGTCATCGTATCCCATTTGCGTGGATCTATGCTCATGATGTCAATCACTGGACTGCCTGGTCCAGACTTGATTATTTACATACCCCCGTCATGTAGATGGAATATTGCTGAGTGTGGCGTTTAACAACAAACAAACAAAAACCTAAAAGCAGCGTAAAAGCATACTCACTCACTCTCTCACACTCACTCACATATTGAATTGCATTGGTGTTAAATATGACGCACTTTCAAGCCTTAAGATGTTTAATGGGCGACAGAAGATTGTTTTAAACACCAGTCAGCAGTAGTAGATCTATATCACGACGTCCGGTCTCACAGAATAACCACAAGGTCTCATTATACCGGGGGCCTATTCCGACCCCGAATCGGGTGGACACATTGAAGAACATTCCCTTGACCAGGTTATTAATTATACGTTGTTACACAGTGGTTTAGGCGGTAACCTGATCTCCATTTTCTGTCCCAAAGATCAACTTTCTCAACCACTCTCTGCAGTCCCCCGACCACTCCCCCCATCTGTGCGGTATTCGTCACAAGTTAAACAACTTGAAGTGTTCAATAATAAATTACCCAAATCGCCCTACTATGGGCAGTGGAACCATGCCGAGCGTTGACATACTTGACTAAATCTGACATTTTTTTTAAATATAAACAAATGGCAAACATGAAAAAATGTGAACCAAACATTAACGTTCGAACTGTATAAATGTCAATAAAGATTACACAATAACATTTCAGGAAATTAATGAGCTTCCGTGCAGTTTGAAACCTTGATGTTAGGTATCTTACGTTGATCACACATTGGATGGTCAGGATCGGAGTTCCTCCAGCCAGGGCTACAGGTTTTGCGACGGCAAAATCCAGTTGTTGGGTGGCACTTCCTCTGCTGGCACCCACTGGAACACCACTCTGCACAGCCAAGGCCGTACCGCCCACGATAACATTCTATAACACAGAGAGAGTGTATTAAGTTCACAAGTCAATGTTAGTGTGATCATATGATATAAATAGCATATGTCACAGGCAAGGTGTACGAGACTTTACAAGCTGAATGGGCATCACGACATCGAAATATAAAAACTTATACAGATGTTCCTTAAGACCGCCAGTGGTTTAGGTATGGTAATTCTAGATCTAAATTTGAACAGAGTCAATTATTTTGTGTTAAGCTGTAACACGACAGTGTCATGGGGAGGCAGACACACTTGTGTGGGATCCGACAAGACTGCCGACTGGCCAATCAGATAGCTGAATTATAGTGTGACTAATGATAAATATCTTCAGCTGTAATAATGATGACGGTGCGTATTATATGGTGTTACAGACTGATCCATATCCTAAATAGACACATGACAAACCACCTGTCAAGCCAAACCATGCAGCTTCATATTTTTTAATGCATATAGGTGAAAAAAAGGAGGTATTGCGTCAAGAATATGTTCTTTTTTTAAACTGTTTTAATGGGAAATGATACAAATCATGTCATTTAAATATACCTTGTAAAAGAACACAATTCCTCAGAGACATTTACATTTAAGACATAATTTTTAATAACAACATCTTTAGAGGACCATAAAGGGCCATAAAGGGCCATAAAGGGCCTTCCCGTCAACACATTGGATCTTCATGAAACGAGTAACTTCTGAAACATCATACACACAAACAACTCTGTGAGTTCTTTCTTTCTTTAGATATATTTTGTAAGGCTTGTGTCGAAAGGTATTACATAAAAAGTGTTTAATTTTCAAATGACGATCTGTAAAATGTCGCCACTTATCTATGCTCTGTCTACATACATGTGTGTATCTGTTGAAAGGTCCGCCTTTGTTACCTTGTCACTTTTGTTTCGCTTACAGGTACATATATGTGTGTGTGTGTGTGTGTGTGTGTGTGTGTGTGTGTGTGTGTGTGTGTGTGTGTGTGTGAATTAGTAATATATTTGGCATTTCATAGTTGAGAGCGCTACATAAGGCACATACTTTTTGAGACCCGTGATGATCCGGGTTAGAATAGGTCTTCAGCAACCCGTGCGTGCCGTAAAAGGCGACTATGCTTGTCGTAAGAGGCGACTAACGGGATCGGGTGGTTAGGCTCGCTGACTTGGTTGATGCATGTCATCGTATCCCAATTGCGTGGATCGATGCTCATGATGTCAATCACTGGATTGTCTGGTCCAAACTCGATTATTTACAGACCGCCGTCATATAGCCGGAATATTACTGAGTGCGGCGTTAAACAACAAACAAACAAACATACTTTTTGAACAGGTATTTCCTCTCCATCCAGGTTTACAGGTACAGGAGCCGTCCACACTGTCACATGGGCCGTCACATCCCTCCTTGCACTGTTTGCTGCAGTCAGTACCGTAACGCCCAGCCTCACATTCTGAAATAGAGCCGATATACATGTGTGATACACATTGTTGTAGGTCGTGGGGCGAGGTGAGAATGGAATGGCGTTTAACCAAGTGGTGTAATTTGCCGATTGCGAGCGCCAGACAGGGTTAAGATCTCATAACGTCCCTGGACATTGTATTATAAAGGGTCAACCAAAAACATATATCGCTTCTGGGACTAGGCTAGTGTTCTGAAACATGTGGGTTGCTTGGCTTCTCATTCTAAAGAAAAGGTCTATGTCTGGAAGCCCTGATCAAAAACATAACTTGTCTGAAATAAAACTTTCATCCCCTCAACACACGTATTTATCCCATACATGTCTCAACAAACCGTATGAAAATCCCTTGACTTTACTGTTTATTGAGAATTCTGAGTGTTGTGCTCAGTGATCTTACATCTTTTTCACTTTTTAAGACAATGAAGATCCAACTTGGGTTAAATTTGGAATCAGTGGTCAATTAAATATAACCTTCGTGTTAACTTTCATAGTGATAGTAGTGTCAATATTGTGAACAAAATCTAAATATATTTTACGAATTTTTCTTTGGATCGTTAAACGTCTAACCCTGTCAATTGAGAAATTCACCCCCAAATGCTCTTGTTGATATTCACACAAAGAAAATTGTGGAGGCAATTATTTTTCTTTTCTGGTGCTGTAAAACAACACCGCAAAAAGGACGTGGAACTGGCGTAAAATGATTGTAAACACGTTATTTATTGAGAACCCTTGGAATGTGAAGTTTATAAAGTACAACCATCAACAGTGTGTTGTGTTTGTTACGTGATTGCTGGTTTTAATTCCTACTTATATTGACGTTGATTCGTAATACATATTCTTCCAATTCATAAACACATATGCATTCTCCATTTATTCAGTGCGGTAAGTTCAGCCATTCCTGGAACGGACCTTTTAATGTGAAGTAATATAAAGTTGGTCCAAGTTGATCATTTCTGGTCGCTTTATCGTTTCCATCGAAAACGTAGGGAAAAAATTATACTTCGTACATCAAAATATTCATAAAGCTCACTAACTGTTTGTTCGGAATATCCCAATACGGTTGGTCGGTAGAGCCGACAATTAACAAAGTTGATGATGTCAACTATTCGTCTCGCATAAGTTAGCTGGGCGACAGAAACTCGTCTTTACATGTGAATCTGAATAATACTGAAAGGTTCGTCGTGCGTTCATGAAAAGACAACACAGAGGAAGCAGGATGCGGTGTCAGTTGTTCGGTCATACCGACACCGTTCTATATGTTGGGAATTAACCATGTGGGGAAATGTCAACGTCACATGGGGTTATGACGGGGCGGGCATATCTCATTGTGGGGTTATATTAGACTGGAGAAATGTCAGTTTGGAGTTGTGTCTCAGTTGGGAAATGTTAAGTGTGGGGTTATGTTTGAGTAGGGAAAGGGCAGTGTGGAGTTATGTCCGAGTCGGAAATGTCAGTGTGGGGTTATGTCCGAGTGGGGAAATGTCAGTGTGGAGTTATGTCCGAGTTAGAAATGTCAGTGTGGAGTTATGTCCGAGTGGGGAAATGTCAGTGTGGACTTATGTGCGAGTGGGGAAAGGTCAGTGTGGACTTATGTCCGAGTGGGGAAATGTCAGTGTTGAGTTATGTCCCAGTGGGGACGTGTCAGTGTGGAGTTATGTCCGAGTGGGGAAATGTCAGTATGGAGTTATGTCCGAATGGGGAAATGTCAGTGTTGAGTTATGTCCCAGTGGGGACGTGTCAGTGTGGAGTTATGTCCGAGTGGGGAAATGTCAGTATGGAGTTATGTCCGAATGGGGAAATGTCAGTGTTGAGTTATGTCCCAGTGGGGACGTGTCAGTGTGGAGTTATGTCCGAGTGGGGACATGTCATTGTGGAATTATGTCCGAGTGGGGAAATGTCAGTGTGGGGCAATGTCCGAGTGGGGAGATGTCAGTGTGGAGTTATGTCCGAGTGGGGAAATGTCAGTGTGGAGTTATGTCCGAGTGGGGACATGTCAGTGTGGAGTTATGTCCGAGTGGGGAAATGTTAGTGTGGGCTTATGTCCGAGTGGGGACATGTCAGTGTGGAATTATGTCCGAGTGGGGAAATGTCAGTGTGGAGTTATGTCCGAGTGGGGAAATGTTAGTGTGGGCTTATGTCCGAGTGGGGAAAGGTCAGTGTTGAGTTATGTCCGAGTGGGGACATGTCAGTGTTGAGTTATGTCCGAGTGGGGACATGTCAGTGTTGAGTTATGTCCGAGTTGGAAATGTCAGTGTGGGCTTATGACCGAGTGGGGAAATGTCAGTGTGGAGTTATGTCCGAGTGGGGAAATGTCAGTGTGGGCTTATGTCCGAGTGGGGAAATGTCAGTGTGGAGTTATGTCCGAGTGGGGAAATGTCAGTGTGGGCTTATGTCCGAGTGGGGAAATGTCAGTGTGGAGTTATGTCCGAGTGGGGAAATGTTAGTGTGGGCTTATGTCCGAGTGGGGACATGTCAGTGTGGAGTTTTGTCCGAGTGGGGAAATGTCAGTGTGGAGTTATGTCCGAGTGAGGAAATGTCAGTGTGGGGCAATGTCCGAGTGGGGAAATATCAGTGTGGGGTTATGTCCGAGTGGGGAAATGTTAGTGTGGGCTTATGTCCGAGTGGGAACATGTCAGTGTGGAGTTATGTCCGAGTGGGGAAATGTTAGTGTGGGCTTATGTCCGAGTGGGGACATGTCAGTGTGGAGTTATGTCCGAGTGGGGAAATGTCAGTGTGGAGTTATGTCCGAGTTGGAAATGTCAGTGTGGAGTTATGTCCGAGTGGGGACATGTCAGTGAGGGATTATGTGCGAGTGGGGAAAAGTCAGTGTAGAGTATGTCGGAGTGGGGAAAAGTCAGTGTAGAGTTTGTCCGAGTGGGGAAAAGTCAGTGCGGAGTTAAGTTCAAATGGTAGCTTTGTCCGCATTGGGGTACGTCCTAATCGGGAAATGTCAGTATGGAGTGGTTATGCCTAACTGGGGAAACGTTTGTGTGGAGTTACGTCATAGAGAAAAAAATCAGATTGGTGTTATGTCCGAGTAGAAAAATGTAAGTTAGCGGCAATGTATTATCGTACTACTTCTAAACTGTACACTGTATGTGCTCGGTGATCACGAGATCACAACATTTACAAATAATAACGGTGTAATAACACTTTATGCAGCCTCAAACAATTAACATTATTATGTCAGCATGGTTCTTTCTCGTTTTCATAAATGACCTCATATGTGAACGAACTTAGGAAAGCAAACGATGGCCTCTCTGTATATGGCATATATATACCCTGTGTGTTATTGGCCGATGACACAACGCTCTTGTCTACAACCCCACGGGGCTTAAAGTCTTCCCTTGATTCAGTTCGTTTATATGCCAATATATGGAGACTCACCTATAATGCCTCCGAGAGTAAGTCACTTGTATTCTGCAAAACACGCCAGCGTCATAATAAAGTAACCTACAAGTTTGGCGATGCAATAATTGACACCTCCGACTCCGTCAAATGTGGCGGAATAATCATAAACAGTAATGTATCCTGTAAAGAAAGAATCATGACATGTTGCTCCAAAGCAAGAAAATGTGTTAATTCACTACGATCACTCGGCCTCAACGATTCCGACCTCCACATAGTTGCACGTGTCAATATATGGAAAAGAATGATTTTATCTACAAGCTTTAATGGATGTGAATTGTTACCAGCCTTATACGGTAAAGAACTGGAAATGATTGAATGTAACGTTAAATTGCTCGTCATATACAAGGATTTGGTAAAAGACATCCAACCGATTCGTCTATTTCTAACTTGGGAATGTGGTCAATGAATGGCTACATCGATAATTGTAGACTACAATTATTAGGAAGGCTCTGCAATAACGATTGTAACTCAATAAGAAAAGATCTATTTTGTGCTCACATTGCTACCAACGCTATTCTCAATATTAGCCGTCCAGTATGCATATGCAACATCCTTCTATATACTGCTAAAAAAATACCATTTAGATAACTATATAAAGGGATATACCGATAGCGGTTCATTCCCAACTAAATCGGCTTGGCGAACTCTTGTAATCAGACGTCTATCAGAGAATGAACAGTACATCTTTCACGATACCATAAAATTCATAAACGGTTACAAATGCATGTTTTTTTATAATGTAATGTATCTCTATCCACATTTAAGACAACCCCTGCAACTTTGTCATAAAATCGGATCAAGAGCAAAAGTGTCGAAAGAATGTAACCATTGTACTCGTCACTATATGGCTGAGATACTGCCGATGTGATGTTAAATTTTAACTCACTCACTGTAACCATTGTAATAGACATTGCTATGACTATGATTGCCATATTATTTTGCACTGTGAAATGTTTATGCCTGACAGAAATAATTTCTTCTCATGCCTGATTGATACACTTGATGTAGATGTATACGTGAAAAAAGATATGCTTGACGATGGTGATATGCTTTCATTCTTTCTCGGTGCAGATGTCCATGACTTGACTAACAAACCTGATTACGACACTTGGCAAAGCATCATACTGTCTTTCTGCCACTTGATATGGAATTATAAGAAACACCTTATGTATATCTACTAGATACCTTACTGCTCTCAAAATGTACATTGTAAATTATTTATTCATAGCAGTGTATAACATGATTCCATTGTATATAGTCAAGTAATTTCATTGATGTATTGTAAATAATGTATCTGCCCATGTAAAACCTTCGGATTCAACTCTGGAGGAAATAAAGAAATTCATTCATTCATTCCCACACAAAACAGTGCTGCCTGTGTTCGTACGTATCTTGAACAAACCAATTCGTCTATCCTTCATGCAGATTGTGTTTGCCTTGTCAGTCGTGTGAGCAGTGCCGCTTCAACAATGCAAGCATTCAACTGTGTGTAAGTTAGGAATCACAGCGCTGCAGGGGCTTTCAACAAGAAAGAGCCAGCAATTTTCACAACAAGGCAAACCTTGATAACAATACATTCACATTTAATCAATGGAAAATATTTTTAATTTGCGGATCAACGTATTGCTTTTATTATCAGATTGGGGATCCAGGTAATGCATATTAATGTATTAGAACTGTTGCAATAGGCGATCAAACAAACAGAACGTAAAATGATTTACATTCTTCAGAGATCATTCTTATGTCCGGGTGTGGAGATGATAGCTGTGGATCTGCAGGTTAACTGGTCTTGTGTTTAAAGCCCGGAATGCGGGTATACAGAAGGAGAGGCTTGTCCTTCTTGTGTGACACCGACTGTCTTAAGCCCAGGACACGCGGCAATATATATCTGGTAATATTGGTTGGGAGGTACCATAAAGTCAGGGGACACACCTGTCACACGCTCAGGTAGAAATCCTCAAACCTTTCCGCCATCCCTGTTGTTGCAAAGGAAGGCTACCACCATTCCAAACCAACGGAATGAGGGAGAGCATACATATTTGAGAACGTGATTGAGAAGTGTACAGACTTTTGTAGCCATCATTTGGTATTTGCATTAATACGAAAATCATGTAAAGAAAATAAACAGTCTGTATGGTAGTTAACATGCAGACAAGTTGTAAAATGCGGACACACGGTCAGTGAGAGTAGAAAACTCCTGGTGCAGGGATGTCGGCCTGGAATGGAGCCGGTCTCTGTTCCTCGCCGACAGTTGCTATGAGGTGAAATTGAAGTGGTTAAGGGCGACACACATGACAATATTAGTCGTGACAAGGCGTCGATTATTTGTTATCCTAATTCAAGTCATCCTTCTGCCAGTCAGTGGGCTGTGTTTCCATAGCAACATGTCCGTGAAAGTCATTCATGGTTTCAAATTACACTCTCCAACGGGCAGGCAGTAAAACTGACCCCACAACCATCCTCTGACCTCATGTCGCGCCCCTTATGTGTTGTTTACACCCCACGGAGATTCTGGTAGATTATTGATCCAAGTCACATTGGATTGGATGATTTGGTTTGGTTTGTTCTTTTACGCCGCACTCAGCAATATTCCAGCTATACGACGGCGGTCTGTAAATAATCGAGTCTGGACCAGACAAACCAGTGATTGGTATCATGAGCATCGATCAACGCAATTGGGATACGATGACATGCATCAACCAAGTCAGAGAGCCAGACCACCCGATCTTGTTAGTCGCCTCTTACGACCAGCAAAGTCGCTTTTTACGGCAAGCATGGGTTGCTGAAGACCTATTCTACCCCGGATCTTCACGGGTCGGATTGGCAAACTCAGATACACGACAAAATATTTCCACATTCATAAAAACTATCTGCCCAAAACAGAATCCACTGTATGACACCTACTATATAATAAGCGAGTGATTATGAACCACTATACAATAATGATGATACCAGGCGTTTAGCTTGTCTGGCTCAGACACCGATATTTACAGGCCTGTGTCATACTAATGCAATACCGCAGGTTGAGGCGTTGAACAAGATCCATTTGGTCACGTCACTTTCTTCCTAATAGCATAATGATATTAAATCATAAGAGTATAACTGTCATCCACCAATTGCTTGTGTGGGCCGTTTTCCTGCACCGAGTGACCACCTCAACATCAACCACGAGCCATGAAAGTGTAGTCAGTGTTACCTTATCCTTATTCGCCAGTATTCAGCTTGTATCGGCTCCTTTCGTTGGAAAGAGATGATTATGTGTGTTTATTTTAACGCGAACTACATAAGCCTAAAAAAAAGGCACCATAAGGCTATTTTACTGGAAAGCAAATATTCTAGGTTTGTAAGTAAAGTTACCCTATATGGTAATGTACGTTTATTGATCATTCAGAAGGATAATAACACATAGATTTGCACCCCTTTAACCGTACGTGTGACAAGTGCCAACGAACGTAAACACATACGCACTTGTTTATATGTGCATTAGATGTAGGAAGGACGGAGCCAGAGTGAAAACAATGCTTACATTATAATACAAGTCCTACTTACCGAGGCTTAGCCTGCACTGCAACAGGAGAAACCATATCGCAATGATATATGATACATCCATTCCGAAACACACTGACCACCTGCGAGTACTGTGTAACTACCAACTACAGCATGTGCATCCTGGATTTAAAGGTCGTCATCGGGCATGTCAGGCTGAGAGAGTCGGAACGGACCGCGATGGTGGGTAATGCTAAAATAGGATTACGGAACTATAAAACGAAATAAAACGTTTGGAGGTTTTATTGAATCAGGAGAACTGGCGAAGAAGAACAAAATATTTAAGCATGGAACGTGGTCGCTATTCTAAAGATATATTTTCTGTTTATGTATGACGTCAATATGATCAACGGCTTTGACTGCTCGTCAGTTTACTTGTGTAGTGTCAACAGTCATTTCCAGCAGGACAACCAGTGCAGTTCTGGGATGCGTTTCAGCGACAGGATATTTGTTCGGTCACTGCTTCGGGACATACACTTTTACAGCACACTATAGTTCAGAACATCGGACATGTCCCGTGAACAATATAATTTTCATCTTGCGAGATCTGAAGCAGTATTTTCTCCAGAATTATTTATTAGGGCTTATTATTATTATTATTATTATTATTATTATTATTATTATTATTATTAAGTTTTTTATTATTATTGAAAAAAGCGCAAACCCCAACCCCGCCCAAGATTACTAAAGGAGGGGTCCTTAATTCGTTTTCGGAGTCGTCTTTCACATTTCACCGTACCGACAAACGGTCGACACAATCAATCACTTCTTCACTTTACAACCATTGTCTCCAAATACCCGACTTGTTTTGTAGTGTTATTATTAACTAAGGTCATATGTGAAGGATGTAATAATTATGAACGTTTTTGGTAGTCGGTATTGGCGTAATTGGCCCCAAATAGATTCGGTCCGTCTCGGCCCGGTCCGACTTTCTGGCAATCCCCACCAAACGAATGGAATGCCTGCGGCATCGCGTGTCCTAAATACGTCACAGTGGAATTCCCTTTCTGCACACGGTACCAGTGTAGTAGCTGACAGTACTAATTCGTTTGGTGCATATCGGTAAAGGGACCTTCCACTCAAAGACTGACGAAATGCCATGCATGTGTTCCACTGCTACTCTTACTGCGGATTATCGCTGGCCAATGTTGACTTGGCTCTTGTTTGTAAACATTCCACGCAATGGCTCATGGGTAGAAACCGAGCTCGATTCTAAAAATAGTACTGCAACTATTCCGCCTCTTGGGATGGGCGATAGCGAGAGGAAATATGGGATTTCACAGGAATAAAACATGCAAGGTTTGAAATATCGGCCAGTGACAAAAACTAAGACGACATATGGCGAAAGAAAACGCAACAGGGATAATGTTGGTTAAACATATACTAACTAAAGCTTGACCCACAGCGTAGCAACAAACACCTGCTCACAATGTAGATAAGTGTATAAGTATATATATAACTAAATTCTTTGGTTATGGTAAAGGTTAATTATCACTGCCACGAGCTAGCAACAATGTAGTTCAATTGATATTTTGAAGTTACTGTATTGTAATTTGATGAAGGGCATCTCTATATGAGTAACATATAAATGTATCCTCGACGCAGGGATATGGGGATCCAATCGTTCCTGTATCATGCGCTTCACTTCTCCAAGCAGAGTTGAATTCGGTTTAACGCAGATTGAGCAGTCTTTCAGTGAAAATCATGGCGTCAGCTTGACGTGGGAGTGAAGGTCGAAGGGATTCAAAGTTCAGTCCTTTGACCGTTCCAAGATCATCAGCAGTCCCCATTATGAAATTCGATTGACGGGTCATGAGAAAAACTATTCAAAACAACGTCAAACCAACTCATTCAAGATCACTTTAATGGATGCCAATGTCCAAAGATTTTTGTTTCCGATTGTAAAGCAAAATAGGGTACTTTCACAATGTCAGGTACGTGATATTTACTGCATTTCCATTTATCAAAACATCATTGGTTGGTATAACACGAACCACGGTACTGACGGTCTTTTTATCTGTTCTATCTTGAATGCATCTGTGTACTATTATTGTATTAAATTATAAATTGTACTTATTTTTATAACAACAGAATTCAATGCAGAAAACCTTGCATTCTACTTTTTCACTACCTTATCTGTCTAACTGTTTTTGCTGTTCTGGTTTCCCCTATGTCGACGATTTGCGACTTCAGTATAAATATCCACACAAAAACACACACACCTTCTCTGCCCAGTGCGGTAGTCGACCCGTGAAGATCCGGGGTAGAACAGGTCTTCAGTAACCCATGATTGCCATGAAAGGCGACTATGTTCGTCGTGAGAGGCGACCAACGGGATCGGGTGGTCAGGCTCGCTGACTTGGTTGATGAATGTCATTGATCCAAATTGCGTGGATCGGTGCTCATGATATCAATCACTGGAATGTCTTGTCTAGACTCGATTATTTACAGACCGCCATCATGTAGCTGGACTATTGCTGAGTGCGGTGTTAAACAACAAACAAACAAAGAAAAGAAAGAAAGAATAGGGACTGTCAGTGTGGTGTTATGTCCAAGTGGGGAAATGTCAGTGTGGTGTTATATCCGAGTGGGGAAATGTCAGTGTTGGGTAATGTCCGAGTGGGGAAATGTCAGTGTGGAGTGATGTCCTATAGGGGAAATGTCAGTGTGGGGTTATGTCAGGGTGGGGAAATGTCAGTGTGGAGTTATGTCAGTGTGGTGTTATGTCCAAGTGGGGAAATGTCAGTGTGGTGTTATATCCGAGTGGGGAAATGTCAGTGTGAAGTGATGTCCTATAGGGGAAATGTCAGTGTGGAGTTATGTCAGGGTGGGGAAATGTCAGTGTGGGGTTATGTCAGTGTGGAGTTATGTCAGGGTGGGGAAATGTCAGTGTGGGGTTATGTCAGGGTGGGGAAATGGCAGTATGGGGTTATGTCAGTGTGGGTTAATATCAGTGTGGAGTTATGTCAGTGTGGAGAAATATCAGTATGGGGTTATGTCAGTGTGGGGTTATTTCAGGGTGGGGAAATGTCAGTATGGGGTTATGTCAGTGTGGGTTTATGTTAGTATGGGGTTATGTCAGTGTGGGGTTATGTCAGGGTGGGGAAATGTCAGGGTGGAGTTATATGTCAGGGTGGGGAAATGTCAGTGTGGAGTTATGTCAGGGTGGGGAAATGTCAGTGTGGAGTTATGTCAGGGTGGGGAAATGTAAGTATGGGGTTATGTCAGTGTGGGGTTATTTCAGGGTGGGGAAATGTCAGTATGGGGTTGTGTCAGTGTGGGGAAATGTCAGTGTGGAGTTATGTCAGTGTGGGGAAATGTCAGTATGGGGTTATGTCAGTGTGGGGTTATGTCAGTGTGGGGAAATGTCAGGGTGGAGTTATATGTCAGGGTTGGGAAATGTCAGTGTGGGGTTATGTCAGGGTGGGGAAATGTCAGTGTGGGGTTATGTCAGTGTGGAGTTATGTCAGGGTGGAGTGATATCTTATAGGGGAAATGTCAGTGTGGTGTTATATGGGGTGGGGAAATGTCAGTTTGGAGTAATGTCCGAGTGGGGAAATGTCAGTGTGGGATTAAGTCAGGTTGAGGAAATGTCAGTGTGGAGTTATGTCAGGGTTGGGAAATGTCAGTGTGGGGTTATGTCAGGGTGGGGAAATGTCAGTGTGGGATTAAGTCAGGTTGAGGAAATGTCAGTGTGGAGTTATGTCCGAGTGGGGAAATGTCAGTGTGGGATTAAGTCAGGTTGAGGAAATGTCAGTGTGGAGTTATGTCAGGGTTGGGAAATGTCAGTGTGGGGTTATGTCCGAGTGGGGAAATGTCAGTGTGGGATTAAGTCAGGTTGAGGAAATGTCAGTGTGGAGTTATGTCCGAGTGGGGAAATGTCAGTGTGGGATTAAGTCAGGTTGAGGAAATGTCAGTGTGGAGTTATGTCAGGGTTGGGAAATGTCAGTGTGGGGTTATGTCCGAGTGGGGAAATGTCAGTGTGGGATTAAGTCAGGTTGAGGAAATGTCAGTGTGGAGTTATGTCAGGGTTGGGAAATGTCAGTGTGGGGTTATGTCAGGGTGGGGAAATGTCAGTGTGGGGTTATGTCAGTGTGGAGTTATGTCAGGGTGGAGTGATATCTTATAGGGGAAATGTCAGTGTGGTGTTATATGGGGTGGGGAAATGTCAGTTTGGAGTAATGTCCGAGTGGGGAAATGTCAGTGTGGGATTAAGTCAGGTTGAGGAAATGTAGTAGTGGAGTTATGTCTGATTAGGGGAATGTCAGTGTGCGACAATGTTTTATCATGCTAATGCTAAACTGTACACAGCGTGAGCTCTGTGATCAGACATTTTAAATGTACACACAATAATAGTGAAATAACACTTAATTGGAGCCTCAAGCAATTATTCCATGCACCTTAATGCTGCCTGTGTTCGTCTATCCGTCATGCATATTGTGTTAATAGCCTTGTTAGTAGTGAGAACCGTGGCCTTTCAATAACACAAGCATTATAGTTATGTCAGCCTAATCACAGTGCCCAAACGTTTTACAATAACACTGAGCGTGCGAGTTTCACAAACTCAAAGCCAGCCTTTATAAACATGCACATTAATTAATAGATACATAAAGTTCATAACATTTTGGTCTCTATGTCAATATTTAATCCATGTTACTAATCCATATTCTTTTTCAATCACAACATTTTCATCCTCACCCTAGAAATGTTTTGTCTATTTTCATCCATAGATGCATGTATGTACGTTTGTATGTGAACTATATTCTGCAAACATATTGTTTGTGTACTCCAAAAAATATATAATGATAACAAAAGCATTAATTAATCGAAACTAGTTTTAGTAAGCAGATTAACGTACTGCCATTATTACCAGTTTCAGGATCAAAGCACGTACCTCAATTTATTTCAATTATTTCAATAAGCAATCAATCTGTAGGTCAAGTGATTAACATTCTTCAGAGATCAGTGAAGGCCGGGAAGCGAGTACAAAGGATGGCGAGGCGTGCCCTGCTTGTGTGACTCAAACTGTCTTTCGGTTCAAAGCAAAGCAACATTCAAATACAATCAGTGAAATATCACAAACATCCATCAATCATTGATCATGATAATATTTGTCACGACCATGTACACATTGTGGAAATAAATAAATAGTTAAACATATTGAAATAAAAATCAT